TTTTTTTTTTTGGAAGCGATATAAATCCAATTTTTGGGAAAATACGAGTTGATACCAGTTTTAATTAAATATAAATGTCTTCTGTGTACAATGTCCTCAGAAATTAGTCGAAAAAAGTTCAACTGTGAAATGTTGTTGCAAGAATGTTTCTTTTCCCATACTGTAAGCGGAATATGTACGCTCTTAACGAAGGTTTTCATAATTTTCACAACAAAGTTTATGTGTTTTTAAATCAATTCAAACGCAAAATAACGCCGTAAAATATCTCAAAATGAGACTAAACAGACTGTAAGCTCGAGACTAATGATTCCGAACTTTGATAAATCGAGGCAGACGAGAGAGAAAAATTATTAATTACCTCGTTTCTTCTTCTTCTTTTTTTTTTTTTTCTTTTTTTTTTGAATCCTTTCGCTTTAACCGGCTTACCAGCATTATAATTAATCCTTCGTGAAAACACGCTTTCGAGCGTGAAATCAGAAGTCTCGAGACGAAATACAATTCTACTTGTGCATCTCGTCGGGCCGTGAGGAGGATTTGAAAGTAGAAACCTGCATAACCGGCAGAGCATGAGGAACGCAATCTAGCTTTTAAAATATAACTTCATTGGCTCGTTGGCAGGAATCTCGCTAATCTAAAAAGGGAGCCATCTTGTTAATCTAACGTAAAAATAAATAAATGCCCGACACTGCAAATTGCGCCTGTGTATTAACGTTACAGAGCTGAAAGCTTTTAGCAATCTCTATGTATCTTCGCAGCGTACGTTTAATCCTTCACAAGAGCAAACTAGACAGGATAATGTCAAAAGCTAGGTTTTCAATCAGTTTATGCACGCGATGATTCATACTACTACGGATCTTACTCCATTTTATCATTTTAGCACGTTATCGCTATCGCGTTGTCAATTAACACGTTTACACCTTGATCGATTACTAAAGATATTAATATAAATAAATAAATAAATAATAACTAAAGATATTAATATAATATATAATAACTAAAGATATAATATAATAAATATAATAAATAATAACTAAAGTATAAAAATAATATAATAAATATAATAAATAATAACTAAAGATATTAATATAATAAATTTATATTTATTTATTTATATAAATAAATAAATAAATATAAATAAATGAAAGTATCCAACAACACTGGAACATCGAAAGTTATTCCACGTATAAATCATTATAATTTGAATGACAATTAAGATAAATCGATTTACACTTAATATCGACGGATTCGATCGTTATGGCGTTTAGAACAATGAAATTGTACAATTATTTAGAAAACATTCATAAATGATAGTTCTAAATGACTAAAGCATATTTCTTACGCGCAATTGTCATTTCAAGCATTCGGCCAGAGAAAAGTCGATCAACATCGACATACAATTTACACACGTTTGAACGAATTGGCGTGGACGTCGTTGTAAAATTCTGCTCGGACGTTTAATACAAAGCCTCACTCTCGGCGAAAGAAGTCACTCTGAATGGAAATGTGCTGGAGTTGCGCGTACATGGAAACCCCGTCGGGGTTACTCGTTCGTCCCCCATCGGTAGTAACGAGTAACAAGCACGCGGTTGAACGTGTTCTAATCTTAGCCGTCGTGTTTCGCTTGTTAACAGAAATCCTCGGGATGGAGCTAAGAACGGCGAAACTGTTGCTCTACTCGACGCTGGTGGTGGTGGTGTGCTGGAGCCAGGAGGATTGGACGGCGCAGTGTTCGTCGTCGTGCAAGTGCCGATGGATCTCCGGCAAGAAGACCGCCGAATGCATCAGGCAGAATCTCACGCAGATACCGAGCAGCCTGTCGCCGGAGATCCAGAACTTCGACCTGACGGGGAATCGCATCACGCACCTGATGCACGACTCGTTCAGCCGTGTGCACCTGGTCAACCTGCAGAAGCTGGTGCTGCGAAAGTGCGAGATCGAGTCGATACACACGGACGCGTTCAACGGGCTGAAGATCGTGATCGAGATCGACCTGTCGGCGAACAACATACGAACGTTGTACCCGGGCACGTTCGAGGAGACGCAACGGCTGCGGGTGTTGCTGTTGAACGAGAACAAGCTGAAGGTGCTTGAGAACGGTCTGTTCCGCGACCTGGTCTACCTGCAGAAGGTGATGCTGTCCAACAACGAGCTCGAGCGAATCGAGGAGAAGACGTTCCGCAACCTTCCAGGGTTGCGGCTGTTGACCTTGGACGGGAACAACCTCAGCATGCTGAGGGTGCAGAGCTTCGAGACGTTGCCCAAGCTCGGCAGCCTGGAGCTGCACAACAATCCGTGGAACTGCAACTGCCGCCTGAAGCGATTCCGCGACTGGACCATCGAACGGAAGCTGTATACGAAGCCGACCACGTGCCAGCAGCCGGCCATCCTCGCGGGCAAGATGTGGGACGAGATCGGCAGCGACGAGTTCGCTTGCAGGCCGGAGATCTTCACGATAGGGCCGTCGGTGAGGATCGAGGCCGGCAAGAGCAACGTCACCTTCTGGTGCAGGGCTGCTGGGATTCCACGACCGCAGGTATGTACCCTCTAGCGCGTCACCTCGCGTTTCTATTCACGGTGAACGACTCGGCTCGAAACTCGATGAAAACGACGCGCACGGTGAGACATTTTGTAAAAGCCAGACGTCGACCGCGATTATTGCACGGAGTAACTTGCAAGCAATTTCCTGTACAATCGCGCAGGCCCGACGCGAAGCTCCGTTGAAAAGATTCCACCGTGCATTCGGGCCATAACTTGACTGTACGGAACGAGGCCTCCAAACGAGATCTCTGACACTCGACTGATCGTCTGCTGATTTCGCCTTTTTTCAATGTTTATCCGCCGTGAACGCGCGTTTCGTGTGTCTGAATCGTAACCGCTCGAGTGAAACGCTCTGACGAATATTCGTTTTTTGTATATATATATATATATATATAAAGAGAGAGAGAGAGAGAGACTGGCCATGTTAATTCTTTCGACACGTTGAAAAGGTTTCATAAGATAAACTGGGGGGGGGGGAGAGTTTCCTCGGAGAGTTTCCTCTGATTCGACGAAAAAGAAAAAAAGAACATCCTTCGCGGGGAATGACGCGCAGCCAAGTGGAAAGACGAGAAGACAAAAAATATGTGAAAAAAGAGAGAGAGAGAGAGAGAGAGAGAGACGTCTTTTGAAATCGCACGGTACAAAAGAAATGACGTAGCTAAGGTTCTGCGAGCTTCTGCGTTAACGTTTAACGAACGTCCTTTCAAATTTTCCGCGGCATGAAAAACTGAAAAATTCCGTGGAATTTTATTCGCAGGTGTTTTTCATTCGCTTTCGAGCGAGTTGCGAGTGAAACGCAACGAAAAGACAGACAGAAATGGGAAAACAAAAACAAAAAAAAGACTTTTTCCGTTTCAGTTGTCGTGGGTGCATCGATCGAAGACACTGAGCAATCACACGAGACGTCACAACGGGGAGAACTACGTGCTGAGATCGAGCCACGAGTGGCTGAACCTCACGATACCGGACGTTACGCTCTCGGACAAGGGCGATTACATTTGCCTGGCGAAAAGTCCGGGCGGCAACACGGAGAAGAACGTGACGCTGACGATCGCCGGCGACGCTCTAAGCGGCAAGGACAATATAATCAGTTTGCCCCTGGCGCTAGGTTTAGGGGTGACGGCGTTGCTGCTGCTGGCGGTGACCGTGTCCCTTTGCGTGTGCTATTGTCGCCGGCGGCGTACGAGGCACGACGAGAAGAGCTTAGAGGCCGCCTCGATGGAACACCACGGCCTCGGCGAGCAGGAGAAGTCCCTCATCACGACCATAAATCCCGTGGTGAAGCCGCCCAGGCGGTACGAGGCGCCTTCGGTGACGTCGCACGGCACCGAGATGACGGAGCTGAACCGTACATTGCTCGACAACGACTCGGTCTTCGGTCAGTACACTGCCTACATTACTAAACAGTGCGTGGCCAGGTGCTAGCTACTAACCATTTGTTAGCCGCCGGGCGGCGATTACACGCCGAGAGACGTTGTTCGCGCAGAGACGTTGGAGACTCGATCAACAACAACCGGGTGCACCGCCGCTGCTGCTCGCGTGCAACGCGCGCCAGCACGAAACGAGGAAATCGAACGAGTAATGGCTTTCCGACCGTGAACCCTCTCTTCCCTCTGCCGATTCTGTCGAGATTCACGCGATCTCACGTAAATATTTCACAGACACAAGGTTTTTCTTCCTCGCGTACCGTTCTTCGGCCGAAATATCCCCGAGCATATATTCGGAAACGACGAGATTCGCGAGAACATAGCAGTATCCGCTTATACATGTGCGAAAGAGTTTTTACACCGCCATACCAGGCATTTCAAAATGTTTTATACAACGTAGACCGTGAAACTTTTCTATACGATAGAGAGAGAAAGAGAGAGAGAGAGAGAGAGAGAGAGAGAGGTGTGTTCAAGTGGTTTTCTGAGCTAACGTCTATGTATATCGAACAGGGTTACTCTCTTAACGTAGCAAAACGCTTGATACATATCAAGTAGTTGCGGGTCAATCTGACTTTTGTAAAAAAGAAAGAAAAAAAAAGAGCGGGGAAAGATGATTTAATCGAGGTTAACGAGCATATGTATATATTTTGTATATTGCAAGACGCACGGTTTCGTACGATAATCAACGTACAACAGTGTCAAAAAAAAAAAAAAAAAAAAAAAAAAAACAAAGTATCGCGAGGCATGCGTTACGTCGTTGGCGTCTTTTTGTATTTTATCATTCGGAGGAGAATACGATGCTAGGTTGCTAGAGTTGCGAGAGAAATACTTAATGTTATATTACAGAAACGTTATATCACCGAACGATTCGACGTTTTTCTACTGCTCGTTTTATTGCCGACCGTAAAGGAAATATGGCGGCGAATGTTGCGTAACCCGGTCTGTATAAAACGGAAGGAGAGAAAAAGAAGGGGAGGAAGAAACATTGGAAAAAAGCGGAGTTGTTATATTTCTCTCTCGCGAAGTATTCTTTTACTCGAGCCATCGAACAATAAACTAGAAAGTATAAAGTACCGACGAATTCAATTTTAAGCGTTACGCAACAATGGACGACGAAGAATGCATTCATTTTGACCCCACCGTCTACCGAGACGAAAGTCTGCGTAATAATACTCTGATTGCAACGCTAACTTTGTTGTTTGAAACAATTTTTTCTTTTCTTTTTTCTTTTTTCGGGAAATACTTGTTCGAAAGTGAACAGAATCAGAATCAGGGATCGAAGTTGACAGGTTCTTTCCGTTTAAAAAAAAAAAAAAAAATTCTGGTCGAACTTGTGTATTTAAATGATATAAAATAATATAAAATATATATATTAAAGAGTTGTTTTCGTGGAGTTTTTACAGAAAGGACAGATATTTTGAAATCTGTACGATAAAAGGGGACCACGGGGACACGTTATTTCAATTAAAATTCCATTTTTACATTCGAGCACTCGCCGTTGAATACAAATGTTTGCTACAAATATTGACAACACTTTTAACATTGACGAACAAATTATCTGCCTGTCGGACAGGAAAATTTTTATTTCTATACTTTACCGAGTCCCGAGTTTTCTGGTCTGAACATTTATTT